TGTACGCAGGTGGGGGTATGCAAGTGGCCCTCAGAATGCGTTGGCCGGCGAAGTGGTTGTTCAAATGGCCCTCGCCGCAGTCGCTATTATGTCACCACGCGAAGAGATAACTGGGTCAATTGTGTTCAAGACCGGCTGGCCCGACAGCTACGGCTATTTCCGTTTTCCTGTGTTGGCCCAAGAAACGGGGAACTGGCGTATTCAAGTGGCCCTTGACCCGGGGCTGGTTTTGGCAGTCGTGTGCAATCAAGTAAAAAGGTCAGGGGAGGACTGCCAGTATTCGAGGGGACACTGAAAAGCGGCTCAGAGGAAGGCGGAACAGCTTTTGTAAGAGGGAAACAGAATTTTCACTAGAGCGACGTGAGGGATTTCAAATTCGTTCAGTCAATAATAACAGTCGCCGAAGAGTGTTGATTATGGCTCCGTCTGTGTGCGTTCTATGAGGATTACTCCCAGCCATTTGCTGTATGCGTTAACGGTGACAGAGAAACTGTAGCCTCTCAGCGGTCCAGCATAATCGATGTGTACCCTGGACGATGGGCTCTTGTGGAAAAGGCCATGACTTGAGTGGTGTCTTCGTTTGCACGTTGGATGCGAAAGCGCGTTTGATGCATGAGCGGGCCAGCAGTTCCAGTTGCTGATCCATGTTGGCCCAGTACACATAATTGCGAACGAGAGCCTCCGGCACACGAGTGCTCGAAGCAACAGTACATACCGATTGTCCGTGCGTATGACTCAGTTGACTTGGCCTGTTGCGGCTTCTGTTGTCACGTGAACTTTTCGCCTTAGGCCACTTCCCGTCTCCGTAACACTCCCGCTTTTGCAAGGTTGACCTCATATCTCTTCCTCCTCGGGTCCATGACGAGTTTTTTTCGGCAGTTAGTATTTCATGTGGCTCTTGCGGACGGGCAGTGGTGTCGGCTTCACGTCTACCTCAAAGGTATAAAATAATAAATCGAGAGCTATTTGGCCATTTGTGGTGAATCAGCGTCTAAGATGGTTCGCGTGTCGTTTAATTCTCCCTGTTGCCGTTTCTACCTCGAAATCAACATCCTTTGACGTCCTGACGGTGCTATCTATTCATGGTATCCCACAGACAGTGAAAATATCACAGGGGGGTCTTTTAGGAGAAAAAACTGTCACTCTTGGGGTCGGTCACATGGGGAGGGTATCGCAGCGGTCACCATGATTATCCCCTAATTACGGAATATGCGGCCAGATATTCCCTTGCGGATTATAGATACCACGAAAAATGTTGTAAAATCGGAAGTATCCACCGAGATCATCAAAAATCTGCTGCGAGTTGAACAAAATGAGAACAGTTAGGGGCCGCATTGACTATGGCCGCGAAATTCGGCAGATCGGCCGCTGACGGGATCGTCACGGTCCGCATGAGGTCATCTAGGAAATATCGCGAAGACCTTCGCATGAGAATGACGACGAGAGAGCGTAAACGATGGGTTTTACATAATATATAAAAAATATATACATACAGCCGCCCAGCGGTGGAGGCTCGAGAGAGAGCTCTAATGGCAATATGGGGGA